TGGTAGCAGTGTAAGTAGTAAAATTTTGCCTTTTAAAATAAATTTGTCTTAAATATACATTTTTTCATGCATTCATTTAAATTAGGGAAGGAGTTAAGTCTCAACTCATTTATTCACCTCCTCCCTCCTTAAGGATGACTTATCAGTTTACATGATAGTTTCAACTAGTGGAAAAACAAGTTTAAGAGATTAGAGACAAACATACCAGCATTGTTGTCTTTGTAGCTCACTATTTTTCCATCAGATCGTAATCCTGGAGGGGCTCATTTTCAGATCCCCATTTTTTTCATGCAGATCTTCTACCTCCCTGCGGCAATAACATTTTTAGAATTAAAACAGACTTTCAGCTTGCACCACAGGGAGGATTTCTGATGGAACATAAAATTCAAAAACGTGGTGACAGTTCACAAATTGGATGGTATCTCAACTTATCTAAAGCAGTATTTTTGTTTTCTCTCCTTTGATATTAATGTTGTGATAAAAAATGTACTTGCTGTTCTGATGATTAATTAAAAAAAAGCAGAAGGGGAAATCAATTGTAATGATCTAGCTCCAGATAATCTGTGACACTTCAAAAATACCATTACTCTACTCTTCAGATATCCATCTTTTGCCTTGTTTGACTAAAAGACTAGCCATCACCTATGTGGAAGTGTAGCAGATTGGGCACCACATGAATGATAAATCCAAAAACTGGATTAGCCAACATATGCACTGATATTAAGGACCATGTGCCATGACAGGCAGACAGAACACACAAATGGTTGCTTCTACAAAGGCAGCAGATTCTGCTGACACATGAACCACAATGGTTTTGCTGAATAAAACTTATTGCCCCCCTAAAACTTGCCCCCCTAAACTTGGGGGGCAAACTAATTTGAGAATAGACATCTACTCCAGAAATATAAGTGAACAAAATCGAATATCACAAATTAATTAGAGGGATGGATTAAGTACACTATAAATGTAACCACGGTTGCAGTAAACCGCAGAGTCGTAGAAGAGCAGCTCAGCCGACAGTACCTAAAAGCATAATTCTAAGAATGATACCACACACACAAATTGTGGTGCAAACATTAACTTCAATCTACTTTAATTTTAAACCTTAAGAGGTGCTGTTTGTTTCCACTGAGAAAATCATATAGACACCTGAAAAGACCAAACTGTTTACATTTTTCCTAGGCAACTCCTTTGTAAATATTTCTTTCTCCTCCAGCCACGCAGGCTTTTTTTTTTTTCTTGAACTAGAATGGAAAACTGACTCCATCTTTTAAGACGTTCTTGTTTGTTGAAAAAGAAATCTCCACTTCTACTTTTCTGGTTAATAAATAAATCATAATCAATAATCCCCAATTAATGAATTAGGACGGATTAGTGGGAGACGGGCTGGAAGGATTCTAGCAAGTAAAAAACATAACCTAACTAATTTATAGACATGGTTATTTATAATGATTACACAGCATATTTCATTTGAATCATGATCTCAAAAACAGGTTAAGTTTTTAATTTCAAATGCTGTTTTAGTACAAAAGTTACACCGTAGGCCCCAATTTTGTCCTTGGATCTGCACTGCCAGAGTCCCTGCAACGCACACAGACTTGAATCCAATCACAGAATCGCAGCCTACAAAGAGAACCCTCCAGCGCACAGCACAGAGCAGCTCTTCAATGTCATAAGTAAATTTTTACCAGATCAGCTGGCTCATTACGCGTATCACCAAGGGTAGTGACCTGCATCTCAGAAGGCTAGAAACACTGCATGTTACTATACAGCATAAACTTAGATTAGTTGTGAAGTAGCTCAGGGCTCTTGGAAGATATATTATGTAAAAAATGATAAAGCGTGTGAACAAGTAATCAGTGGAATTGCAAATAGACTGTCACAAGAAAAGAAAAAGGAAAAAAAAAAGAAAAAAAAATCAGGTCCATGGCCTGATACATGGCCTGACAGCTATACCTATATTACGATATGGGAATACATATCATTTCAGCTACTGACAGTAATTCTTTCTGATGTATACTGTCTACGAAGTCTGCGTTGCCTCCTCCTTGCTGCAAGAGCTGTATGTTTATCAAGCATCACGGAGATTTTATTCTGGCACTTCTGAAGTACAAGTCAGATGAGATCAATATAACAGTAGATTTTTTTCAAGCACACCCAGAAATCAGTTTGTTGTATATATCTAAAATAGGATTCCACTAGCATAACTAAGGCAGATACTTTTTAAAGTCAGAATCTTAAATGAGCATCTTAAAAAGTTCTTTACATAAGTATTACTATACCACATTTCCTTCAAAAATAACTTAATGCACTTAGAAACCTCTTTCATTCTACTTTCTGATTAGCATTCACTATGGTTTCTTTCACCACCTCTCCAACACTAAATTACTTCTGACTCAGGGCCTAGTATCTTTTAACAACAAGAATAAAAATTAAAATGTACACTTAAATTCACACTCCTGTGTCTCACTGCTAGCAGCAGCACACTACCCAAGTTAATACTTCCTGGGGCCTCTGTACTCCGTCTCCACCAGCTTTGCCTCTGTGCAGGAGCAATTAATTCAGAAAGACTCTTGGGAGTATGAGAACTTCTTGGTCAACACACATGCTCCCACAAGACTGCCTCCATCAGAGCAGTCTAACTCATGCACATCTTTTAGCTATAGTAGTTACAGATTCTGTGCAAGACCATTTTGACTGCAGGGTAAAATTAGAGCATGAAAACTGCACTAGATGAATAGCACATATACTATACTGTCATCTTTTAATGGTTATTTGCAGAGGAAAAGATGTGCAATGGGAGATTTCATCTTTCCTGATAGACCTTTTGGAATCACAAGTGCTAATATTCATTACTGGCTTCTAAAAATTCTCATTAGATTATATTCCTCATCTACATTCCTGTAATTTGGCTTTTGAGTACAGATCATCTTTCACTGAAGTTTTTATATAAAAATTATTAAAACCAAGTTTTAAACACCATAAACTTTTCCAAACATTTCAAATCCTACTATCCTAATTTTTTAGAAACTAAATTTTAAAGTGAACATTATCAAAAAAAAATCTCTTTACATGCTCTGCCCCAAATTCTCAATAGTAAGTATATCCGTTTATAATTTTAAGAGTGGATTTTCAAATATGAAGCAGTCATGTTTCTTTCTGTGAGCAAGAGCTTAAAAAAAATCCTATAAAAGAACTACAGGTTTGTAATTGTGGTTTCCACCAAGTTATTGTGGCCAAAAGTGGCGCCTTGAAATATATGGAGTTCATTTGCATTAACTCTTTATCCTAAGATGGTGCTGTTAGTCATTAAACTATCAAAATCTTACTCACAAGGAACAGTATATTTGATGTTTAAAAACTGACACCTTTCAATGCAGCAGTCTTCAAAGCATGAGCACTATAATTTCCAAACAAAGTCAAATTCATAAAACTCAGCTTCACTTAAGATGAATACTCTCACTTCTCACCTTAAAAGTTTTACTACAATAACTATAAAAAGACAAAACACATTTTGTGTTTTCTCTTTACATTACTCAAATTTGTAGTTAGCTTCCTTAATTCAAGACACATTTGAGTAATCTGGAATTTCAAGCATTCTCCAAAAATGTGAACTATTTAGTGTACACCTTCCAAATTTGATGCATGTGTTTTTCATTAAGTAACCAAGGAGATTAAAATCTAGATTCACTGCACTATATGAGCAATTGCACACACTGTTTAAGGAGAAACATGAACTTAAACCCACCTAATCTTACAGGAACGGAGAACAGGTATTTACTGTGCTACAAATCCAATAAATAAACAAATAATAATAATAAAAAACTCTAAGGCTTTTTTTTTTTTTTGCCTGCTGGAAATCATGATTTTGAATTCCTATACTGGATTAGGCAGTCCTGGGATACAAATGTAGGTGATCCTTGTTCTAATCAAGTGGACTCACCACTTTACTATTGAGTTCCCAAGAGAACCTGTCCTCCCTTTGGCCACATGTCTACATATTCCATATTAGCACAATAATCTAGCAGAAAGTTAAACCAACAAAAAATTTGAATGGTTTAGGGTTTTCTTGGCTTCCCACCTTCAAAATTAGCATACTGGAATGCTTAAAAGAAGCACAACAAGCATGCAAAGCAGCACAAGAGAGCAGGCAGGAGGGACAATAGGACTGGCAGCACAGCAGCAGCCTGGCAGTCAGATGTTATTTGGGCCCCACTGAAGCAAAGTTTTGTTTCTTAAGACAACTTAGGCAGACTTTGGTCCTCATGAGAAGGTTTAAAACTCAAAACTGTATAATTTGGAGAGAGGTTAACAGAAAGATACCTGCTTATTTCTAATTAGGTCAGCTGTTTCTATCCCTTTTTTGCCACATTTCTATGCCCTACATTTCATTTGTAAACTGATTTTATCATACAGCTGAGTTGATTTTATCCCTTTGTGCTTTATGCCCATAAAAGGAAAGTCCAACTCCATCCTACCAGCCACAAAGACCTGCCACTAAACCAGCCATAAAACGCCTCTTAGACCAAAAAGGCAAGAGCACACAGCAAGGGACAGTAGGGGAGGGGAGAAGGAAAGAGCTGAAAGATAGGGCAAGTATAATGGCACAGTCCATACTGCCAGCTGCCCCGCAGTTATCTGGCTCGGACATATTGTAAAACTAAATTCTAACGAGCTTCCTGGCTCATCTTATTTTTTAAAACTCCGTGTTTAGGTATCTAGTTAACAGCTTGCATATATAGGGCCAAGCAAATAAATGAAGATCTCCCTACTAATGAGGGCACATACAAGTTGCAACACAGCATCCTAAGCCTAAGGTGACCCTTTCCCTTGCCAGGGCCCCAAACCTGTTGCCACAAAAGCTAAGAAAAGGTAACTGTAGTGGGAACAGATGCCATCCCACGTCATGATCTCTACTTCATGGCCAAAATTATGTTTGTCTGGGAGTTCTAAGAGTAAGCTGTACAGAAACCCTAGTGAAAAAAAGCATTAACGTCTACCTGTTTCCTCAGTTTCAGTCTCAATTTCTTGCTCCTCTGCTACATCTTGCATCAGGTAAGTCTCGTCATCATAAACCAGGACCTGAGCAGCATAACCCTGTTCTAGTCTGGCACTAGGAACTGGCTCCACAATCACTGCTGGGAATTCAGAGACTGGCTCATTTTCCTATAGAAAGGGAAAAAAAAAATTTTTTTAAGTTCTAAATATTGCACTAATTGAAATCTAAATCTTTTCTTCTTTCCTCTTTTATTTTCTTATATATTTGTGTGTAATAATAATAATTCAGAATATTTTTAAAAGAAGCTTTCTTCTCCTAAAGCAAGAGTATATATAATCCTCTACCAAAGGCACTTTCCTGAATCCCAAGACACTTTTCTGGCTTTAAAAACTCAGTTTAAAGCACTGGGCAGTTTTAAGGTATTAGAGAGAACAAACCTTCTAGTTAAGGCAATCAGTTGCGTATTTTTTTCCCCTGTACTATATGAAATGTAATCAAGGTAATGTAAGCAATGTACCTATGTCTGACTATCTTACGAACACTCGTGTTTTGGATTAAGTGCATAAGCCAACACAAAAGAAATAGCTACTTCAAAGCCTGTATGTCTACCTCTACTTACTTACAGATCAAAATTTTTGCAACAGCATATTTCATCTGTTAAAGCGTTGCAGAAGTAGAACTCTGCCTGATTCAATTTACTACAGGCTAGAGAAAGTAGTATTTTTCTGTTAACAACGTAAAATATGAACATTTAAGCAGCACTTCGAAAAAGGTCCTTCTGTTGGTTTGCTCAGATTATCTTACCTCAAGACACATTCAAGAACTTTATAGACATTATTTGATACAGAATTTAATTTTGTAAGCCCAGCTTACAGCTGCATACTGCGAACTTCAGAACATATACCTCCACTTCCCTGTAATAACAAAGATTCTAATAAAATAAAACGGGCTACTCTCTTCCTCTCCACACAAAAAATCTCTAGTCCATTTTACAGAGTTTAAAGAGACTTTTTCTTTCAAATAGGATGAAAGCTATTAAGTTTATTGATAAACACATTGTTTTTATTTTTCTAACCTCCTGATTTTTTATTCCATTGTTGTCGAACGCCAAGCGAGGGCCGCCAGTGTCAACCATTGCTGATGTCACGGTGCATTCCCTTGAAGAGGTCAAGTGCCACTCTCTATCCCAAAGATGGGATGTTGTAATGGGGACAGCCTGAAGTTAAAGGCTCAAATTCACAATCCACTTCTCTTAAGCAGCTAGGCAGAGGTGGCTGAAACACAAAATAATTTGAAACAAGTTATTTGCATAGTTTACACCCAAAAGTCTTTCAGCTTCGAAGCAAGCGATTTGGTGCTTCTGTATCAAAAGAGGGCATCAGTGAGCACAACAGATAGGACAAAATGCGATGACCTTCCTAAATTAACATTTACTGCCATAAACCACAAATATCACACCAGCCTTTAACACTAAGATAATAAAGTTTCTTTTTGGTTCTTTGCAATTTGTTAAATTTCATATATTATTTCTAAAAAAAAACCATAATACATTTAGATAGCTTCCACAGTCCAGGAACATGAATTTCTCACTAAAGCGAAACATCGATGCACTTCTTGGACATGTATATTGGATTTTTCTGAGTCAATTATTTTCCCTATTAACTTAAGAGGATTTTTTAATTATTTTTGTTTTTAATTCCAATAGTTTCATAATATAGATAAAGCTTTCACACATACTGCCTAAACAATGCATACATAATAACACAGCACACAAACACATGCTTTATTCTCTACAGGTTTCTTGGAAATAAAAAGCCTCATAGCAGTCTCACGCTTTTTTTCTATAGGGAAAAGGTTTGATTTCAAAAACAAGCAGTTCCAGATCATGCTGATTTAAGCTGGGTATATCATGGATTTATTGAGTTTAAAAGATACATAACCTCATTTTTTGTGATTTTTTTAAGCTAGGTTAACAGCAGCAGAGCTTTGTTTCTAAACAACTGCTATTTTATTTATGCCATACAAATATTATTGTTCATATCCTGTCTTTCCAAGGTACAAATAATCTGTGCTCATAAACCCTGGGTTGTCAAGAGTCATTTACTACTTCAAGATGCAAAGTCTGGCTTCTTAGTAGCACAACAGAAAGCACATATTCCACATGAGACACAAGAACCCAATCTGATACCAATTACCCTCTCAAGTGACTTCACTGAGATCAATGCATTATAACAGAATAACCCCCCTGCCTCCTTTTTTTTTTTTTTTAATAAAGCCCATCCATTGAGAAAGCTAGCACAATCAAAGATCCACAGGAAAATGAAGTGGTACAGTATGTTCTAGATTTTGCTGCGTACCCAGGGGTCTTCCAACACACATATTAAAGAAAAAAGAATATTAATTAACACACGGCTGGTAAAACAAATAAATCAAATAAATAGTGGGCAAACAGCTTAAATTAAATCAATCCTGCATAGGGATAAGATAGCTCAGATTTATGCTCAGAGTCCTGTTAACAGTAACAGGGTTTTCCCTGGACATGGAAATATTTATAGGCACAGCAGCATAGGGGCACTAACAAATCTTGCTACCATTGCTTTCAAAATTAACTCCAAAGCACTAACTTCAAAGCGATACAGTCAGTAAAGCCATGCTACAAGAGAACCATTTACTGCCTTCATGCACGGAGGCACTGAGGACCCCTCAGCACGGTGTGGGTAGGTAGATGCGCACACACGCACGCACACGCACACAGGCTGCATTCAGGAAAGCCTCACTTGTGCTGCCATCTCAATTTAGTGCAAAACACTGGTAGCGTGGAAAATGAAAACGCCAAAGCGCAAGAGGTGTGCGTTTTTCAGCTTGCATACAGAAAACAAAATACTGTAAGTCAAGCACAAAATATATGCATTCCCCATGAAGTTTTTACTTTGGTAGGCAGTCAACCTGTAATGAAAAAGGCAACCTGATTCATGCCTCTAAATGCCTTATTTGCAGGACTACTAAAAATCTCAATATAATACAATGTTTTTTCCTCTACAATTTCATTACACAGTTAGCAATAAATTTTGATATCTATCTTTTCCTTGATAAGAAGAAAGCACAGTCCTCCTCCATTCCCTAAAGAAGATTCAAACTAGAAAGTCTCCAATAAGTACCCTTGGAGCCACATACACCTGTTCCCCTCAGGGTTTTGTTAGAAGAAGCCTCTCCTCACCTAGCAAGTGATTCCTACATTATCTCAAAAAACAACAAAAAAAAATCAGAAATGCATTAAGTGGAAAAATGGCTATGCAGGAACACACTGAACTAATCAGCCAGAGGAAAAAGAAAAATAACATTTACTAGAAGCAGACCTTTCTCCTCTTCCAGGTCCAGGCACATTAAAAGTGCCTCCATACAGTTATGGCTGTATGACTCCACAGAAAAGTGGAGTCTAGAGGATAAAATTTATATTTTGATTTGGAAAGAGAACCTTCAATCAATTTAAAATATTTTTCTTCCTCTAACTCAGATCTGCATCACACAGTCCTTCAGGTAGTACCTCAGCATAGCTTAAGAATACCACAAACCTAATGCAGTTATTAAGCAATATGTTAATACAAACAATCATACAAGGGATCATGTATACTATACATTCATACTAAATGTACTACAATTCCACACAGCTAGCTAAACAGTTGCCAAACTATAGCAACTGAACACACTTAAGTTTGGGTAATGTTAAAAATGCATATCCTGTTAGAAGTTTAGATTAGTTCTATACTAACTTATCTCTACATGAATTACCAAGTCCCTATAGAAGCAAAGACAGAACACCACAGAAATATATATGCTGTTAGATAATCCTTATATTCCAGTTCCAGCAGAAATTTGTAATATATATGATATTCACAGGAAAAAAAAAGGGCAGAAAAAAATAATCAGCAAGACACTAAATTTTGGGATTCATTAAAGGAACGATATTTTTAGTATGTTTAGATTTGATGGCACAGAACTGTCCAGGCAAGGAACAAGGAGAAGACCCTTTACACAGCAGAATATGAACGTCATACTAACAGGTTTAGCATTCAACAACCTTTTCCAAGACATCACAAAGTAAAAATAACTTTTTATTTATTTATTTTTAAAGGAAAAAAAAAAAGAACAGGCCTGCCTGCCAGCAAGTGGGAAGACTTTCAGAGAAGATGACAAATAGTTCATTCTGATTCAGTAGTTCTAAAGTTAAAACAAAATAATACACACACACACACACCTGGAAGCAGGTTATATTCTCATAGATGCAGCCCTTTGTGATTGAACAATCTGAGTTTTGCCTTCTTCACTGCCACTGAGTAGTATGTCCTTGTATTTGTAGAAGGCTTTTCATTTCAGTTCTCCTCGAGTGTCAGTACAATATCAAATCTATCATCCACTAATGTATTTATACATATGTATCTTGTGGGAAAACAGATGTCAAAAATATGTCTATACTCTCTCACCCTCCGAAAAACAACAAAACAAAAACAGAAATCACTCTTGAAGCCATGTGCTTTGACTGAACAGCAAGAAGTTCCTGCTTACTGCTCCAAAGACACACAAATAAGCTCAAACCTTTGACACTGTTTTCACTTGCCAAGAAAAAATAGTTAGGGCATAGAAGTTTTTTGGCTCTACAGGTGAACAAGCTGAATAGTTTATTCACATATTTAGTACTATAGTTATATGACATATATTATATATCAAAATATCGGCCCATAAGGAAGCCAAACAGTCCTTTTATATTTTGGACAATTACCAGTGAAGGTTAAAAACACTGCAATTCACAGCAGTGACCAATACACAGTGGTGTCACACACACCAAAGCAGAGCCTTAGGTCAATCCCTCTGCGCACATTCACCTATCAAGTTAACAGAGCACCTAATATGCAACTCACAGAATAAATAAATAAATAAAATCAAGGGTGAAAGAGTGGAACATTTATTAGGCCAGATTCCAAGCCATTTAAGATTGGTGTCAAAGCAAACCATAACATATATATTTGCAAGCAACTTTAGTAGTGTTTTAAATAAACAAAAATCAAAGCTTAGAAAGGCTAAAGAAAGGAAAAAGAAAAAGGCACAGCCACATGTGAGGAGGAGGAAAGCAGTGTCAGAGCACCAGGCAGCAGAGCTCAGAGGCAGCTGCTCCCCCCCAGCAGCCACAAGAACTTCAGAGCACTTGGAACAATGTCTCCTTTTATACAGCTGGCATCTAAAACCGTGGGGATGGATTTATGTGGATACCTACAGAAATGCAACGGCAAGAGCTGGGCTGCAGCCGGCAGCAGCATCCTATGCAACTTGAAAAAGGTTACCTTCCTTTGGTTTAATCACAAAGGTTAAGGACATCAGCCTAAGAGCAAAGTTGGTCACACATACAGAAATACACTGGCTGGGATCAGCTACAGCATTCCAACAACTGGAACAAGATTTCCTATAGGTCCACAGGACCTCTCATAGGCTGCACCTTAAGTATACCAGTATATATGTCACTATCACTCTAATGCGTATGTGCATGCTCTGTAAGAACAACTTTATACCCACAGAAAGTTCTTTCCCACCCACCCCAGATATTCCAGCCCTAACTGATTCACACAGGCATTTGCTGAAGCAAGTGTCAATTAAATTTTTACAAGGACCAAATTACTTTTGTGACACTCTGAACACATCTACAAACTAAAGAATTAAGTCACTGCAAGAACCGACTTGGGTTATATGCCAGTTTAAATCTTTTGGTCCAAGAACCACTGGGCCTGTTCGGAAAGGTGGCATAAAGAAAATCTTTGCATCTCCAACTTCAGAAAAACAGATAATCCATGCCGTTTATAACCCTTCAAATTATGCCAATCACCAAATGTTACAGGAAAAGAAATCAAAAAACAGGAATGGTCTAGGCTAGCAGTCTTGGCCAGAAGGTACTTTGGACACCAGCAGTTTCCATATAACAAAACAATACTGAAAGCACAGGAATTACTACATTGGCTCAGATTAATGATGTATCCAGTCCAGCAACTAGACACTAATACCAACAGAAATCTCAGAAAAAAAATAACACAGGGACTCCTTCCACACATTTAACTAGACAACTCAAATATCTAAAGTCAGTTCTGAAACTTCAAGTAATTAAAACTGACGAGCCCCAAATCACATAAATTTAAAAACACTTACAAACTATTAACTTTTGCAAGAAGCCTCACAGCTTCACTGACATTTTTCTGGATCTCCCTGTATTTCACCCCATGAGTAGCCCC